GGAATAGCCCAATGAGGGGACGTGTTGAATTTTCATGATGAATCGGAGTCGACAAATAAGGGCCTGCCTGTAAGATATATGATGAGTCAGTCTGTCAACATACCATGCGTCTAGTGGCGGGAGGTCCCCAGACACGTAACGAAAAAATACAAGAAAAGCTGAAACAATAAGGAAAACCCAACCCTTTCGCTAGTAAGTAGAAGATTGAGTCCGACACCGAGGCACGCCGTGCAGCCGAGAAAGAGAAGCAGACTGCAGAGAAGGCCCCGATTGATGGCTGCCGTTCCAGGGGCGCAGCAGCATCGGGATCCTGATCGTCAAATCCACTTAGTACCCGAAGCCGAATTACTACACTTAAACGTTTTGGGATAATATGATCCCTTATAGAACTGAAAGTGTACGCTGCCATAGCGCATTGTTTGTTGTACAGGCCGTCGCCAAAATATCCGTCTCCGGATCTCGAGCGGTTGAGCGCCTGAACCAGGCTGCGTGCATCGCGGGTATAAGTTCGTGCGGGGGGGAGGCGCGCAGGATCAGGATGCTTTATACTTTATACAGCAGGATTTCATTGGAGTTTGTGCAGTTTGCCGACGTTGAGGTGGGATTTGCTGCAGGTTGCCATTCCTCACATCATACGTAAACGATGCCACCATGCACTTGCACGTTACGGCAAACAGGAGCATGACGGCATGAAGGTGCAGACCACGAAAGCCGCACCTTCGATCAGGCAGTGGCAGAGATCAAGAGCGCGCTGAATGCTGTAACATCCGGCTTGCATGGCCAGAGTGGGGAAGCTACGCAGGCCTATGCCAAGGTTCGGGGCCAGACATGTGGTGCCACACACTGTACTTCAACCATCCAAGCTTCTGCGACACGCACTGCGCAATGGCTCTGGCATGGCATGTTGTCACATGCAGCCCCAGTACTCCCTCAAATGTTCATATATAGGCCGGTTTGGACCTAACATGACCGAGCGGCACGGATAGTAACAGTACGTAAACGCAGCCGGGGACGACTCAGCTTGACATGTCTCCAACTGTCGCTGTTATAGAACTCCTCATTGGTCGCTCGACGGCTGCATTTTCTAGACGCGTATTACGTTCAGCGAACATGGCTGTACCCGGTCGTCACCTGTTGCCCCCCAAAACTTGTGCACAGGGTGCTTCAGGTGCTTTGCCAAGCCATGTCTATAAAGTGCAGCCGAACGAACTAACCACTGGAATCTTATGTGAGACTTGGCTTGTTGGTGTAGGTCGAAGGAGTCCGCCAACTGAGCTACACTGTGTCGGTGTGGTCTGGTCGATCGAAACCCTTACCCAAAGAATCAACCCTGAAGTCTTGACAAAAGTCCGTGTGCCTGTTGCAGCATGCAGTTCCCCTGCCGTCCCACGTTCCCTGCGGCTGCTCAATTCCTCCTGTCCTGGAAAACACTCGGGAAGCGGCGCATTTGTGGAAGGAGCTCAAGTGTTGCAAGCACACGTTCACGATAGAAATCAAAGGGTTTCGGATGCTTTGGGAATCCTTGAACTCTGAACTCCGATTACCAAACTGTCAGGTCCCCGACTCTCTCAGCAAAACAACCCTCATCCTATCACGCGTCTCCGTTTTCTGCTTTTACTAAGCACCCCCCCCCCCCCCCCCCCCNNGAATTAGGGGGAGGGTTTCGAGGCTTCAAATACCCCTAGTCAAGAGCAAAAGCAAGAGCAAGAGCAGAAGCGGGAGCATCAGCAAGAGAAGCAGCGAGGTTAGCTCTACATTCCTGGTTGTCCCCTAACCTTTTTCCTCTAGTTGCATTTACGGGACCTGAAACTGCAAAATCCCCTGTCGAATAATAGCGCATAGTAGCAGGAAGTTATGTCTGTCGGGGGAAGGGATTACTACTGCTTTTAGTTTTACTTCTTCTTCGACTAGACCGACTGCTACTGCTACTAGGTGCTGGATGGAATTGGGAAAGAGCTCGCCGAGGCCGTGCTCTATTCGGGTGATGCGGATGTCAACTGCCTTGCATGCCGTTTGATTGTAAGATTCCGGGTTAGGTTTCTTGGGTGAGTAAACTGAGAAGCCTGTAAAGTTGGAGTCATGCAGTTCCATTGCTGGGTGGTGACATTCAGACGGCGGATTTTCATTGGGGGCTGGTCGTGCTGATGCAAAGCCCGAGGCGTGCAGACTTGCGAAATTTCAGTGCAAGGGCAGGCGGGCTAACTAATTAGTCTGGCCAGGACTGGCGCAGCAGCCGGGCTGCCGCCGAGGCGGCAGCACGTGGCGCTGCGAACCAGCGCCGTGCACAGCGGGCCAGGTGGCGATGGCTGGGTACATTTTGGTTGTGTGCATGAATGTATATCCGTATATCCAGGCAGTCGTGGATAGAAGTTTAGGTGACGCTGTTGGAACTGTTGCATGTCGCTGCCCAAGCAGAGGCTGAGCTCCAACAGCAAGGCTCGCGAGGAGACTTCGCGTGGCCTGGCCTCGGCAGTTTCTTCGTGCAGGGGAACACATGAATGGACTGGGAAGACTTGGAACGTTGCAACCCAATTAATTCCATTGTTGCCTGACCTGCCCTGCAGCATGGTGCGGACATGTGATGTCAGGTGATGAAGCAGGGTCAGACTTCGAAAAACAAGCAAGCGCATGGCAGCCTAGCCCCGAAGCAAAGCACAGGCCACGCGATTGTTCAAAGGCAGTATGCCAAGGTGATGCAGAACCTCGAGGCAGGGTGCGGAAGGGTGCTTAGTGTGCTCGGTAACATCAGCATCTAGCGACACAAGAAACACTTCTGCCGAGAGCTGCCTATTGCTCAAGAAACTTTGGTTAAGTCGCGGTGGGACACGCGCTCTTTTGGACGCGATTGTTGTGATTGTGGACATGGCACGACCTGTCTTTCTCAACTACAAACGTACCCTGCATGTACAAGTGTGCATGCATGTGTGTGTTTGTTTTTGTGTGTGTGTGTGTGTGTCTGTGTCTGTGTCTGTGCACACGCATGCCTGGATGGATGGTTGGTGGCCAGATAGATAGCTGGCTATCTAGCTAATGGTATGTAGGTTGGTAGGTACAAGCATAAACATACAAGTATATAGTGGGTTTCTACAGCTGCATGTGTGCTCGCTGCACTCATGAAGCCCTGTCCGGCCAGGCCTGCCGCGCACGAACCGCAGAAGACGAGGACCCATCGTATCGTAGCAATGCAGAACCCATTGCAGACAGTGCGGGTTTTTGTGGATGGACCATTGAAGTCTGCCGTTGAATGGCCATTGCCACTGAAGACCTGTTAATCAATCACGAACTTGGTCGGCTACGGTTTCAAAGTACTTCGACTGCTGCAGAGCATCGAGCTGCCTTTCAAGGAAGCTTTGCAGACGGCGCAAGCTGCCGTGGCCGAGGCGGAAGGTCGAGAACGGCAACAGCCCCTGGCACTGCATTTGAGAAGCGAAGTTGAAGGACAAAGTCAGGGTTCGGGGATCGACTACGAAGAAAAATTCACGGCTGCTGTGCGACTTGTGGCACCCGGACGTGGCAATGGTGTGGCCTCGCTGCAAGGAAAAGGTTGCGTGATGACTGCAAGGCAGCTATTTGCTCCTTGGTTGCAAGTTGCGCATGACGTCCTGGCCTGGCCTAAGTCAGAAGCACAAAGCAATAGGAAACTGGTTTGAGAGGAATCGGGGTCGCCACCAGTCGACATACTAAAAGCCCCGTCAACATGCCGAGAAGGTAATGAGACGTTGACATGTCAAAAGCAAACTACCGTGAACATGGAAAAACATGCCTTGCGGCCGCCGTTGACATGCTCCCGAGGTCTGATGCTTCCAGACATGCGAACACAGTATTACCCAGTGGTCTTGTGAAGCTGCACTGCACGGTGTGCCTTCAGGCTTTGCGAGTATAGTGTACCCTAGACCCCCTGTTCGTACACTCTACACTCTAAACCCTTTCGCACACGTCCCGGGCCTCTGCAGGCGGAGAAAAAGTGAAAGTGAAAAATTGTAAACTGACCCGTCAATGTGTCAAGAAGGGCCGCGTCAACGTGTCAAACAGGGCCGCTGTCATGGCAAAGGCGCGAGGTAGGTCCTTGTGCGCTTTCTGTACAGCTCAACCATCCACGGGTCAGATGGCTTTGCTTCCAGAGTGCACACCTCCGGGGTCTGAGTGGGCGGAAAAAAGTTCAAAGTGAAAAGTCCATGTCAGGCCGGTCAACATGCTAAACCACAGCTTTAGCATAATGTGCCGAAGCTCTCTTGGCATGCCGGCGCGGCGCCTTTGTATGTTGACGGGCCCCCTCCCTATTTGACATGTTGCTTAGTTCTGACTTGATAATAAGACGGCAGCTCCAGCGGAACACTCAGCAGACCCTTCGATCTTCCATCTTCATGCATGACACCCAGACTCGTCGATGCCACAGTCTCCTGTAAACCAAGCTCATCTTTTGCAATTTATTCTTTGAGATGGCAGCCTCGGCAACTTGCAGGGCATTTAGAAAGGGCTTCCAGTCAACTGAACTTGATATGATCACGGATGCTCCCGCCTGGGACAACATAAGCCTGGACAGCGAGGTGATGCGAAGCAATGCCTGAAATCAGCCCGCCTGGCAGAAAAAGAGGCGACTGCGGAGAGGTGTCCCGGGCTGCAAAGTCTGCCTGCAAGATGTGGCCTCGGATTGAGGGATTTGCAAAGTCCAGGGTGGGTGCCTGAGACTCACCCATGTAGCTCCTAGTACGGGCCTCGTACGTGCCTCGAGATGGTCGTCTTCGGCCTATGCCAAGAGTAGCCTCCCTTGGTTTTCCTGAAGTTTCGAAGGACCTCTCTGTACAAGCACTACGCAAAGGCTGACGCCCCTCGCCAGCAGCGTACCAGAAAGTCTCCGAGACTCGTAATTCGTTTATGAGCGCCACAAACAAGTCTGCGGAAGATCGAAAACCCCGGACATACGTTCTGTCAGGCTAAGTTGCCCATATAATCACTATGTCCCGATCGTGACCTTGAATTTTTTTCGAGAAACTCCTCGCTCCCGCGAGACTCCCCAAGGAGGGTCTGAAGGACGCGCTGAAGTTCGCCAAGTCTGCAGAGCAGGCTTCAGCGGCTGAGCGCCAGAAGGCGATTGCTGCCATCAAGGCCCTCGGTGGTTGAGGGTATATGTATACATATATGTATATATATATATACATATATATATATATGTATACATATATATATATAGATATAGATATAGATATAGGCCTCTAGAATTGTCTTCACTAGAAGGTGCAAGAAGGGAATTCCGCGATCGATATTTGAGGGGGTCTTCTCAGCCATTCCTGTCTCGGAGGCCCTGAGGGCCGAGGAGTACGATGCCAACCAGGCCCCTGTAAGCGAATGGGGATGATCGTCTTGGCATTGAAACTATGTGTGCCCCTTCGGTTCGACTGCCAGTTCGGATGAGCTAACGATAGGCCTCCCATAGCTAGGCCAGATTGTGAGACTTACTGCGTCGTGGCGTGCTTTGCTTTGCATGCTCACACTGCCGCCTGTTTTGCGTCATCCTTGAACGAACATGGGTTCAAGCTTGCTGCAGGTAGTGGAGGCCTATGAGCCTTGGCGAAGAGGGCAGTCATTGAATCATGTGGGGCCGCCTTCACAGGCATGTATCCCAAGTGCAGGTGAGCTCGAAGTCTGAGAGGAGCTGCTCTATAGGGCGTGAGTGTGATGTATTGTTCTCGAGATCACTTCACAAAGCTATGAAAGATTGAGTGGCTTTCAGCCATTTCAAACAACCAAGTCCCTCCCATTGGGTGTTGTCAGTCGCACGGCTAAGGAATCCAAGAAGCGAGCGCGACAAGATCAACAAGACGTGGCGTAGGCAGCCATCATCTTAAGGCTGATGTGCCAAGCATCTTTTAATGAATAGAGATGCCCGGGGCCTCCTGCCGCCTGCCTTGCTTCTTCAAGCCTAATCTGCTTGCAGTACGAAGCCTTCAGCTTTGCTTCGTCGGTCAGACCAATCACATCGGGACGTTTGTTTGAGATTCAGGCGTGGTTCTGGCCACTCTTAACAGAGCCCGCTGCAGATCATCCCTCAGCACTCCTGATCGTTGGAAGCCGCTGCGTTCCCAAAGGGAATTGCCGAATGGGCTTGTGCAACACCTAGCCTGTTCACACATATGTAGCTGACGTGTGTGGCCTGTGAGTCGTCAGCGAGGAAGCTGTCATTTTGTCTGGGTGCTCTTTCAAAGTGTTTGACGACAAAGAGGTGGCCCTGTACATACTTGTACAGTCCGATGCCAGAACCGTTTCCGATGTGAGGACACCACGGGAGCAAGTTCAGGAAGACTCGTAAGGCTACCAGCAGTCTATGGTCATGTAGCCAAAGCATGATTCGTGTAGACTTCTTGAAACTGCTCCCGGGCGAGCGGGGCCAAAAGGTTGCGTCTATGGTACACTGTATTCGTGAACTGTCCAACTACAGTTCGAGAAACCTTCACTCATCGGCACCAGTTGGGTCCCTTGGTGAGGCAACTTGCGATTCCTCGCTGTCCAGTTTTGAGGAATGGGAGTGCATGTCTAAGGTCTATAAAGCCTAGATCGATGTATCTTCAACAGTTGCGTTTGTTTTCTGGTTCCTGTGCTGCCCAAGGCCTTCGATCCCAGCGATGGGCGGTGGCAGCTAGCACTTGCAGCCCGGGGCCCGGACAATCGAGCTTCTCGTTCTCAGCACTCGTCCCTATTCGCCCATGAAGCTAACGCCTTTGCGGCTCAAGTGTGAGAGCCAAAGTCTGTTTTAGCTAACGTGCTGGGTAGAACTCATGTACCATGCGCGATTCGGAGTGATAGCAACAACTTCAGCAGCAACGTCTGTAGTAGTAGGTAGTAGGCCTCTCGTAATAAGACTGACAGTTGCACGACAGGGAAGTGAACATAATAGGCCAAGCACGGGTTTGGGAGTGATGGTCGTGCGCGTCGTTCGTGATTGTCGTGGTGGAACTGTTTGCTGCTTGTAGGCAGAATTTTGGGAGCCCCGCCCGTCTGCCTCATCGCTTTCGTAAGCCTTGCCGTCTCGATCACGGAAACGATCGCCACCTCCCGCCATCTTCATCGTATTTCATCGTCATCAGAAGCTACTCGGACCCTACACCCTGAGGATGGCAAAGGCACTATTCGAGTCCGGCCCGAGAACGTCACGCCGGAGCCCGAGCCCACTTCTATGGGCCTGGGTGTTAGTAACTACTTATGTGTGTTAAGATAGTTAGCTAACTAGTTATGGCCAGACATAGTAAGTAGTTAACACGAGATATA